TGTTCAATACAGATTTCATACTGACCCCTCACACTTTTGAATTTCAATCTTCATTATCTTTGCCCCATTTGCATTTGTTCAGCGTGTGAAAAATGCTGCAAATGACCACATCTTTACTGCAAACCAGGTCGTGAGCAAAGAGCAATGAGGTTGACTTACTTTTTCTTTTGTTCGAGCGTAACAGTCACTCACAGTTAAGCCAGCTCTGCTAATGCGTCAAATATATCCTATGCTCTTTGCACCTGAGGCATTGCTGCAGTGAAGATGGTAACATCTGCAGTACTAGTCCAAATGATGGTAAGCCAATCCAGCTAATCAGTTAACTTGCACACACACACACACACCCACGCCCATGCACGCCACATTCAGACAAGTGCTTCAAAAGTGGTTGCCCTTCCCTAAAACTGTGCTGCATCATGAACAGGTACTATTCAGGACATAAAATTTATTCTGATCCTATGAAAACTAATACCATACAGGGATCAAAAAATAAATAAAGCAAGGTAAGCTACTGAAAACAAAGGAACAGTCCAAACTAGTGTCTTATACTGACTGCATTATTTTAATAATCTTGACATCGCAACACAGATAGCATTTTTACATTATTACACAAGTTTCTTCTGGCAATCTAACCTAACCAAAAATATTCAAGGATCCCAAATTAGTGCAATCTAACATTTCGTGTACTTAAGGGGAGATACGAGTTGAATAACACAAGTTTTGTCCAAAATTACATATTTTTTATCTTTATTTACTTTCAAAAATGTTTAGTTCCTATACTTTCACAACAAAAAACCTGAATTATAATTAAACTTGAAGTTGGTTGGAATCGCTTTTAAAGAGCACAAAGTGGCTACTAAAATCTGAAAAGGCTCATTATCCAGAGTCCCCTCGAAATTGTCACCTGGGTGGCCATTGCACTTGGTGTGAGGAGTTCACAAAAGCCACATGCTTAAAATAACCATTACTGCCAAGCTCTCATGATCGAAGAAATCATCTTAAAAACATATCTTTTCCCATAGATGAGCTTTCACTGACACCTTTGAAATGCATTTTTTTCATGATCCATTTTTGGGTAACTTCTTGAGTTTGGACATGTTTTGGTCACTTCTGATAGCCTGATCACAATGAAATTTCGCACACCCATTGCTAACATGTGATAGGTGCAAGTATCTTTTTTAAAACTTGATATTGCCGACATAATAATTAGAAACCTAAAATAAGCAATCAGTATGGGCTGAACATTATAAGAGTGTGTTCAGAGGGACCATAATTAAAAAAGTTTTTCCACCCATCCACCACGAGTTATTTAAGAATCCTCGCATTACAATTTTTCTTGCCATTAAAATGTCTTATATGCACTTCTTCATAGTTACTTGATCTCCAGTTAATGTGGAACAATATAAGCCATTAATAACTCAGAATCACAAAAGCTTAGTGACACAAAAAGTTTGTCCAAAACGACAAATTATACTTTACACATGGCATAAAACGAAAACAGGCAACTTCCTATAAAACTAATTGCATATTTTACATTGGCAATAAAAGCCTACACACACACACAACACACACACACACACACACAACACACACACATATAATATATATATATATATATATAGATATATATATATATATATATATATAGGAAAGATGTCATCATGCTAAGCTACAGGCTAATGCCATTTTTTTTTTTTTTCGAATCTTATCTCTTTTTAAATAGTCAACTTATGACTGCTGCCCAAAATTTTCAGCACATGCATGTTCCTAGATCTCAGACAAGGATGTAGCTCTGATTAACCAGAATTTGCTTCCTATTCCTTCATATCTCTTACTCTCCTCCTTTTTTTTATCATGACGATTCTGGGGTGTTACATGCCAAAACCACAATGTGATTATGAGGTACGTCATAATTGCAAACTGAATTAATTTCAGTTCTCAATTGGAACAGCAGCTATGGGTAATCCAATAGGCCTACGACAGAAGAGAGACTTAGTCTTTCTGTTCCGACATGTGAACAGCCTGCAACATGCTAGAGTGCGTTCGGAGGGACCATAAATACTAATGTTTTTCCACCCATCCACCTCGGGTTATTTAAGATGCTCTTATAAAATCTTGTGATTTTCATATTGCCACCATCAAAATAATATCGTTGTGGCCAGGAATCGAACCAGACTGTGAGCTTTGCAGCGCCATGCCTCCACCAGCTAAGCTACCACAATGAGTGTTTGTCACTCATTAATGCACCTGATTAAGAATTTGACAAATGCAGTCGAACACCACTTCGAGAGCTAAAAGTCAGGCTACGAGATATTAAAGAGAAAATCGATTATTTTTCTTGGATTGAAAAAACCATTCTTTCACGAGAAAATGCCGAAAAAGAAATGCAGGAGGCAACAACACCTAGAAATTTCCTGCACCAATTTTCCGTCATGTCATTGCTTTTGATGGCGTCGGTACGATGTACATAGCTTTTAATAGTTTACGTAAAAATAGTACATTGTCATATAGGAGGGCAAGATAGTTAACAAACCAGTCTCAGGAAATTTTTTTTTGCGGTAGCATGGCTCGAATATGAAAGAGCACTTAGATATCGATGATGTCACGCCAACAGTGATTTGCAGAAATTTTGGTGTAAAGTTACACGCCAAGTTTTACCTCGATTATCTCCTTTATGATTAACCTATGATCTTAGAGTAAAGGCAATAAAGTACTGAGAGAATAATGTGTTCGTCTGAACTGATTTCTCACTCAACTTTTATAATCCTTCAACTGCTTCCCAAGTTTAGAAACTATCCACAGACTTCATTCCGGAACTGCATCAGCTATATATGAACAACTAGGTTTCATTTTTCCTTCTTCACACTTTGCCCCAGGCAGGAGAATATGAACAAAAAATGGTCAAATTCTCGAAAGTGGCTGTACAAAATCTACAATAAAACAAGGTCAAATGTGTTATTTATGCCCCAAAAAATACGGTGCATGACACTGCACACCAAAATCAATAATAAAAGCAAATTAGGACCATTTTTGAAGCACCTAATAGATTCACACATTGTGCTCATTTCAGAGTAAAAGGCTTCACAACAGGGTTTCAACTTGCATTCAGCAAGCGATCACAATTGTCTCAATATTGTGCCAATCACAACCAAATGTCGCATGCACTCTTGCACACTGCCAGCTTCTTTTACCACAAACTTTTTTTTCTCCACAATAACAAGGCTGCTCGCTTGAGCATTTTCTTATTTAACCCGGTTAGAAGTAGCTTTCAGTCTGAAAGTGTTGCCCTGGCGCACACGCTACCATACATTCATCAGCAGCCACACCAGCTTCATTGAGTAAGACAACAGGCACCAAGAGAGAAAGAAGACAGTGCTAGGAAGAGGTGGTGCCCTGCGCCAAACAGCACATGATCAGGAAGGAAGGGACACTGCCTGGGCCCTGCACAGCTGCACGCCTCGCACTCTCTCACTCACCCAATGGACACATGCACACACCTCTGCATACCACCACACACATCAAACAAAGGAGTAAAAGAGTACAAGGTAAAAAAAAAAAGAGCTAGTCCTCCCAACTTCACAGAAGAACAGAGTTGCTGCCCCTCTGGAGCCGGAGAAAGGCTGCCTACAGCAGAAACAGACCTTCAACATGCTACCCAACAGCAACAAAGGCACATCAATTTAACAGAACAACAGGTTACACATTTCTTTGTCTGCAATTACAGCCTAATGTGTACTTGTATCGTGTCTACATGTAAAAATGGAAAAAACTACAGAAGCCAGAAAGTGACTGCAAGTAAGCCTGTGGTGCTCCAGAGCAGCAGAGGAGTATCCTTGCAAAATGACTAAAAACGAATAATAAACCCTGACGTTATGTGCTACATTCAGTGTAGAACTTTGAAGCTCTAAATTGGAATGCAGCCTAGAGTATGTTACTGCACAACCAAGACTCAAGTGCTTGATACTAAAAGTGCATGTGTTTTTTTTTTATAATTGTTATTTTCTTCTGAAGCTTGCAAAAACAAATGAAGACCTATTTATCTATACTAGGTATGATGTACACAAAGCTTTATGTTTAAAAGTTTGTCTATAACTAGATACCCATGCTTTACACTCAGTTTGAGGAACAGCAGTCAGGTCATTGACCCCTTTTAGTGATACTGGTTGTGTACTAGCTCTGCTTCACTTAGTGCTTAATGTTTTTTGTACCACTAAAAGAAAAATGTCAGATCAATACAACACTGCTCTGAATGTAATGATAGAAAAATTTCCTTACACACACAGGCCATTAGTCAGACCTTGTGCTACTCATATGTATGCATCATCCTTTTGTACAACTGTATTTTTTTTTTTGAAGTATTTTGAGCACACTCTGCGTGGCTTCCTGAAAAAACTGCAGCCACCATTAAAGGCAGAGATGTCATTCTTTCATGACTAACACAAAACACTTTAACCCCAATATTCCAAGCATACCAGGCTTTCAAACTCCCAAAATAGTGCCACTAAATGAAAGTGGCATGCCAGGCACTTGAAAACACATACTTAGGTTTCAGTGTTCTGATTGTTTTTAAGTCGGCTGTTCCATTATGACAGACATATGGGATGATTATACCCAGTGCCTTGATTTTAGCAGAACTCAAAGGCCGCTCAGTTTTTCTACTGGCATAAAGCAGCTCGAAAGACACGAATAAGAGTTAATGGCCTCTAGCATCAACGCTGTCCACTAAAACAATATCAAGCCACTGGAAACTCTAGCACTAACCTCTACTGCCTTTATAGACTGAAAATTTACAGAGAAAAATTATAAACTGTCTCAGAAAGTTATAAAGCTTTTAGGCAGGACGCTGCATGGGCAGCCATTGTCAACAAAAAGTGCTGATGGCTTGAGAAAAAAAAGGCATCTAGAGGTGCCTGTTTGACATTGACCAATCCTTTTTTAGAAATCAAACCAGACTGCTGCCCCCCCCCCCCCCTCTCCCATGATCTTTCTACTTCCTGTACTCACTGCACACAGGGATGTCCAAACCAACAGTGTACAACACAGCAGAGACCTATGTGGCGATTCAATCTCATTGCTGGATTTGGTCGTGCCTCGTCAATTCCCATGAAAATGGAGGTCCAAGACCTACCTGACAGGGGCAGAAAGGCGAATGGGTGGGGCTCACTGGCCCTTCCCCACTGGTCACCACCAAATGCACCACCACAGGGTGCCCTACATCCTGGTTTCTGTAGGCTGGCACACGACAAATCAGATGAGTCTGAAAGGGGAAAAAACATTTTTTTTAAATGTACAGCTATTCGCTGCACATACGGCCATACTTGTACTGAACCACAAAATGTGCCACGGTGACCAAAACATCTTCACCACTAATACCAAAAACTTGCTCTCTGCATAAGCCACCTCAATGTCTCTACATTCCATTTATTTGATGAGGCTCACCAAAGGCTAACACTTACACTAGAATACTTCACCATTTTAAAAACAATCTAGTGTTTCCCCAGCCCAGAAAATCCAACACCTTTTGAACAAAAAAAAGATTGTACAAGTAGTGAAAAGTTTTCTCGCATTCACACAAAGAAAAACATAAATTCCACGATTTCTACGGACAGCTAGGCCTTGCAGATGAGTGCTGTCATGATGCATTTTAAGCTGCCATGATAGTTAGTTCCACACACCAAGAAAAATATTCACTACATTCATATCAACTTACCGGTTGCAAATATTCCTTTTCCGGAACAACACATTTTTCCCATACATAGCTTGGCTCACAATCTCCCAATTATCTGCAAGTAGAGAGCAATTTCGTTGGGTATGCAGTAGAAGAGCATTTGTAGCACATCCCAAACTAATGAAGCTTGCACTCAAGAAATATGTCCTTGATGAAAGAAAATATTCCAAACTTTATATTATATAGAGGAAGCTTAAAATGTATGACAATAACCAATGTAGTTATCGAAATCTAAAATCAAAATACACTTACCAGAAACAGGCTCCTTGAATAACACTTTTGTATCTTTAAGAAAATTTTTTCCAATGATGAACAACTCTATTTCTCCCTTGACCGAGCACTCAGACAATGACTTCTTCGATATTTCTGGGATACCAGGAGGCTGAGCTATTAACAAAAGAAAAAGAACAGCTACAATACACATCCAAGTGTATGCCTAACCTTCCTTCACGATGGTATTCTTTTAACAAGCTCAATGCCTGCCATGTAAAGTCTCAAAATGAGAACTGTCAGCGTGTGTGAAATGCAACAATCACCTCGACCCCCCACCAGGCACATATTTTTGCTACTACAGCACATGTCGAGGGTAGCACATCTATTATTTCAATTTGGCAAACAAGTTTACACTGCAATAATGCAACTTAAACATACAAGAGTTAGATATCAAAGGTCACTTACTGCACAAAATGGGAGCTGAAGCAACTTGCAGAATCTCAGAAGGTAAGCCCCCGGTGTCCTGTCCTCGCTGAGCAGGCAGCACAACACGGAACACCAGGCGACACTTTGTACTACGTTTTTTGTTGCGTGTCCCACCATAACGAACCAAGCGCTTCTCGACATCAACATTGCGTTCCTTCAAGATTCCAACGCAATCGCAGCTGCAAAGTGAGTCCGTGCAACCACAATTTAGAATACATTTTCTCGTCGGACCTTGAGTCATAGTGTGCAGAACTATGCTTTCCATAGTGCATAAAAGGCAAAAACATCACATAAAATAGCGATATCCAGAATTCTCACATAAATCTCAAAACACTTCCAAAAATGGCATGCATGACTCTTGTGGGAGACTCTTGTTAATGAAAGAGCTGCTTTTCACATCAGGAGTAACACTCTTAATGATGGACAAGGGCTTAGTAAAAGGTAAAAAAAGAAAAAAAAAGAAAGGTCACAGTTTCACGGCAAGGGCACAGCAATGAAAGGAATAACAATAAATTAAAATTTTATACCAAGTAAGGCTAGAAGCCTTCAGGATGTAATTGGCATAACTCCACAAAATGCAATGCTGGGCAAGGGAACATGGCCGCTACAGTAGGAAAAGCCACCATTGTGCTGCCTGTCACTTCTACACACAAGAGGTAGTACATAGTACGTACAGACATATGCACCATCTACTGATCTCTGTCCATATAGCACATGCACAGCCACGCTTGTTTGATCAATGTTTGCCACATGCGCCTTCGTGAAACGAAAACTGCAGACACATTTCACCTCTGCTTCCAGCTGCGACCGGCATCAGCCCTCGCTCACTTTCACACACATACCGTATTTACTCGCATAATCCACGCACTTTTTTGACGGAAAACCGATGCAAAGTTGGGGGGTGCGAGAATTATGCGGGGAAAACTTTCCTCGAAAACATACAGAGCAAAAAAGAAAACGAAGTGGCCGCAAATCAGGATTCTCACACCAGCAACTAACAGCAAGCTTTGAGAAGTACTAATTAAAATTTACCTCAACAATAAAAGCACAGGTTCAACACAAGGCAAGATTTATTTGAGACAAAAAGTGCAAGCAAATAGTCGAGAATTAGAATGCTTGTGGGCATTGGACGTACCGGTAGCGTTCGTCACTCAACAGGAGCCCTCAAAAGGGAACCGTAGGACGTCAGTATTGGGTTAATGGCTATTTAACAATATCGTCTGCAGTTTGCTTCAGATGAAACAAAGTTTACCATCAATCCAGTTTAGGCACACGGAAAGCCCAACGCGTTTTGGTAGCTTTCAGCTGCCGTCACCAGTAGAGAACACAAAACTCGTAGACTCCGAAGGGCCTACCGGCGGCCCTGTTGTCGTTGTTTAGTGCATGATCTATAAATTTCAGCTTGAAATTAGCCGTGTAGCTTTGGTATTGCCTCATAACGTGACAAGATTACCGTCACAACATACAAAACACACCACAACGCGCACTTGCCAATTTGGCTTGGCATGAATTGAATTGAATCTCCGTGCAATAATAATACGCTTGATGCATAAGAGATGGCGCCAGATGGTGCGTGCTATCATCATCAGTGGTTTGAATAAGCAGACGACATTATTGCGGCAGTTTTTGGGGGTGCGATAATTACTCGAGGAAAAAAAAGAAATATTTCTGTTGGGCGATGTGGGGGGTGCGAGAATTATGCGAGTGCGAGGATTACACGAGTAAATAGATCAAATGACAAGCGGGACAATGTAATCTATTACGGCTTCATATAAAACATGACAGTGATGCCAATGGTAAAAATGCACCCGGAGTGTCTATACCATTGCTACTGCATAAATGTTTTTCTTCAAAGCAGGTTCATGAAATAATTAGTATACACAGGTGGAGCCAGAAACAAACAATGTTGTAATCCCATCACACATACCAAATTTCTCATTTCTATCACCATTGCAGGCAGTACAAGTTTCAATATCGATTGTACATCAAACCCCAACTTCTCATTTGAAATTTAGATATAAATAGGTCAACTAACTATCATGTAAATACGGTACATGAACTCTCATGATATGGCTTTTTTTTTTTTGCTCACGTCCTGCCTTTTTTCCCCCGATTTCTTCTTACCAGTCGTTTGTGAAGCATTTGGTCTGACGAATTTCACTTATATCATGCATTTTAGCATGAAAGTGTCAGTTGACTAGCTCATCCAGTGCCCTGTTTAGTTTCTTATTATGCTGTCCTTTAGTTATGCAACCACATACAATGAAACCTTGGTGATACACATCCCGCGGGGTAATAAAAAATATTTGTATTATCAAAAATGTATCAGCAGAAAACACGGAAAATCAGTATGTGAAAAATTAAAACTGGTGTGCATTTTCATTTATTGTTTTTCAGTGCCGCAGCAACATTATGCACAACTCTGAATGATTGCCAGCAAAATTTTGAGACGGCATTGACAGAGGTAAGACGGCCGAGTACGAATTGGGAGAATTTGGGAGCAGCAAAATTTCAGTCTTGTAGCAGAAGAACTTGCTTTGGAGATGTTAGGAACATTTAATATTGTCCTGGGAGCTTGAAAGTACAATTTTTTAGCAACGTGAAGCACCAGTGCATATTTTAATTCACTAAAAATACACATAACATAAACAGATTTTGAAGAAAGTTTTTGAACAAATTATCACCAGGTGTGAAGTGCACTACCTTTTCACATACAATGTGACCTATCTAGCCCTCGTAATAAACATACAAAATAATATTAAAGAAAGGTTTTGTTAAAAGCTAAGTCCTCCGGAAACACCTAAAAAGAATAAGGCATCACACTCAAAAAGAAATTTAAAAATTGTTATTGCACAAGAATCGTACTTATGTAACAGTGGGCCTTCACTTAACGAAAAGCCTGACATGATAGAACTGTACTGCGAGCTTTTGACAGACAACAAAAGCGCGCTGCACTGCCATTCACGGCCCCTCGTGCGGGACCACCTTCAAGATTGCAGGCAGGAGCCAAGAAACTTAGCCGCACCGACTATCTCTTAAAGCGTGTGATAAGTGAATCATACTGTAACGCCTCTCCAAGTGAGCAACGACGTCTTATTAATACGGCCCACGTTGGCCTGCTCTATTTTTTAATATCATAGGCCGTCACCGTTTATGTAGAACTTCTGATAAAACATAGACTTGTGATTGCCACCCGCGACGCAGCTTGTGTAAAGGTCTGACGCACCTGTTGTGCGTCAGCGCGTGGCTTTTTGATGGGTGCCGCGCCCTCTCTCTGTGAAGAAGGGGCACGTGGCTACACGAAGCTGCCGTCCGCTCTCTCTCCATAAGAAGAGGGGGCGATGCCGCGTCAAAGCCATGCGCTGACGGACTCCAGCGTTTACGTGTGGTCAGGCCTAAAATTACTGCAGCGCAGGTGAAAAATTCGCGGCTGTGAAAATGAACCGCCGAGTGCACAGAGGCTGGTTTTATTGAAAAAAAAAAAAAAGAGAAAATGAAATACACTAGTCACACTGCAGAATAAGGCTTGCAAGTATCCGCCAAAACAGCTATCCGGTTAAGGGGGGAAGAGGGTTTTAAATTTTTTTTTTATATTTCTTGACCAAATTCAATGAAAATTGTAACCCAGACAGAGTTTTTCAAGCTGATTTCAAAAATATAATTGCTTTTGAAATTGGTTGGCCAGTTGCAGAGATAATTAAAATTAATCCTATATTGTTTATCAGAACAATGGAAAGGCAATTATTGGCCAGAATATTAATATTGACATATGGCTAGATACTATGAAGTGTAATTAACACAAATGTAGGATTACTTTTTTAATATTACAAGTATTACCAATTTTATAGCAATTTGAAGTTTAATCTCCAGATATCTCTATCAAGCGATTAAATTAGTACCAAGAATAAAAATTTAGAAAGACTAGATTGAAAAATCTGTTCCTACATTTGTGTAGGAGACATATGTAGCTACATGCCACCACAAGAATTGTGGCTCTATGTGACCTCAAGACCAAGATATCGCTTTGGCAAGTTTCAAAAACATCGAAAATGACATTCTGAGAAAACGTCAAAAAACAAAATAGGCTCATATTTAATACAGAAAATCACAAACTATTTACAATGTTCACAAATGGCCTAGCATCAGTACCCTCCAGGAACATAGTCTGTCTGTTTAGAGTCATTTCGGTGTTGTTTTCGTAGCACACGCTGCAAGTTTTCTGCAGAAGCATGCTTGCGTGCGCATGCTTCAGCACGGTGGCGATCTTTTTCACTCATGCGCTTGGTCAACTGTTGGCCAGGGTTTAGCTGAAGTTCTTGAAGTATGGCTGTAGAAGCTTTTTCATACCCAGAATTGAACTTCATTACAGCCTCTGCCACAGCAGCTTGCACAGCAAACAATGATGCATGTTTCTCCTTCGGCGCCAGTGCCCAAATAATTGAGTGGAGACACTCGTTGTTATTTTGGGTCTTCCCTCTTAGGCATCGCCGAAGAAGCGATTCATCAGACAAACGTCTGTAAACTGGAAGAAGCGCCTCACATACATGGGGTGGCAGATTGTGGCGGTGTTTTGGAGCAGGCTCACCTTTGGCCTTTGCTGCGTTTTGGCGGCACCATGAATCTGGGCCCTCTGGACAGAGAGTGTGGTTAGAAGTGACATCGTTTGAGGTGATGTGGTAGTATGTGGCCATGACTGCTTTATGCATGGCCTTGACATCACCTTTGTGCGATTTCAAGGCCCAGCCATAGTAGCTGCTGAGCTTGGTGATAAGCTCACCAGTCAGCTTTCCTTTCCCACCGAGACTCTCTGTACCAGAGGACTTCTGCTTGGAAACTAGATTTCGCAGTGCTGTGCCCATTCTCTTGTGAATGTGGTTAACACAATCTTCCTTGTCCACGGGTATGTATCCATAGACTTTCGCATCTTGAAGAGCAAGGTAAGCGCGGCTGTCACCATCCGACAACAAGGTCGTGTACCGCAGCTTATGCTTCTGCAGCGATCTTTGGAAGAGGATCAGTGCCGCTTCCACCTCCATCTCCCCAGCTTTTTTGTCCGTGTTTTTCTGGCATGCGTGTGCCTCCTTCCAAGCCTGGTAGGCAGGGTCAACTTCTTTTGGTGCCCGTGCGCACCCAGCACAGAAATTGCTGAGCACTACATAATCGAGCACAAATCCTGTGT